CAAATGATAAAAAGCTAACATATTACACCCAGTTAAAATTTAATTAAAATGAAATATTTGAGAATGTCAAATTTAAAAGTAATTAAAACCCCTATAAAATCCCCTAGGCCAGTCCCGCTTGCTGGAACAACCACGTCTTGAGGGCGCGGCGGAAGGAAGGGAGATCAGGAATCACCCTGATCTCTGGGGGCAGTTCGTTGTTGTTGTTGTTGTTGTTGTTGTTGTTGTTGTTATTTCAAGTCATATGAATGTATTCATTGCTGTCCTAAGGACCACGTAGGAACTGTCTCCAATCCCTAAAATACTTAAGGAGTAGGACAGTGGCGTCCATCCTAGATGGCCCATACCCAGTGGTGGGATTCCAATATGTGAACAACCGGTTCTCTGTGTGGATGCCGCTTCTGGAAGTCCGTTCTGGGCCTGGGCAACAAAAAATTAGCTGCCGGTTCTGCTGAAGTGGTGCGAACCGGCTGAATCCCACTACTACCCGTACTTACCCTACAGTCCGACAGGTCTGCTGTTTGGAAATACTGCAGGGCTTCATTGAAAGCGATCGAGGGAACCGGGCCAAGGGGTTTCTCCACAGTGCCTGCAAGCAAAGAAAAAGGATTGGATTCGGACGTCCCTGCTCCTTCCAGCAGAAGAACAAAGCATCCTACAGTATTGAGGGGAGAAAAGTTGAGCCACAAATGCGGTTGTGTTAAAACTATTTGAATTTTCCAAACGGGTCTCTCCAAACTGGAATAGCTCATGATCAATACAAGTAGCCCTGGGCTTACGGCCACAATTGGGAGCCGACTTTTCGCTGCTAAGCGAGGCCGTTGCTAAGGGAGCGACCCTCCATTTTGTGACCTTTTTGGAGTGTTGAGTGAATCGCCGCCGTTGCTAAGCGAATCGCAAGGTCGTTAAGCAAATCCAGCTCCTCCCTTTGACTCTGCGTGTCGGGAGTTGGCTGGAAAGGTCACAAATGGGGATCATGCGACTCCAGGAGGCTGCAACTGTTGTAAATACACACTGGGTTGCCAAGCGGCTGGATTTTGATCGTGTGACCACAGGGGATGCTTCAACGGTTGTAAGTGTGAGGATCTGTCGTAAGTCAATGTTTTCAGCGCCCCTGTAATTTTGAATGATGGCTGAACAAATGATTGTAAGTTGAGGACTACCTGGATAATTCAAAATACACATCAAGTATTGATGTGAAACCTTAATTGTCTCTATATATACACATACAAAGTTGGACCATAAGAAAGGCTGAGCGCCAAAGAATGGAGGCCTTTGAACTCTGGTGCTGGAGAAGACTCCTGCGAGTCCCCTGGACTGCAAGGCGATCAAACCGGTCAGTCCTAGAGGAGATCAACCCTGTCTGCTCTTTAGAAGGCCAGATCCTGAAGTGGAAACTCAAATACTTTGGCCACCTAATGAGAAGGAAGGACTCACTGGAGAAGAGCCTAATGCTGGGAAAGATGGAGGGCAATGGAAGAAGGGGATGACAGAGAATGAGGTGGCTGGGTGGAGTCACTGAAGCAGTAGGCGTGAGCTTAAATGGACTCCAGAAGATGGTAGAGGACAGGAAGGCCTGGAGGAACGTTGTCCATGGGGTCGCGATGGGTCGGACACGACTTCGCAACTAACAACAACAATACACATACACATCCTATTTATACCATGGTTTTTAAAACATAACTTCATTTACGAGTTTTTTTTTCATCTTTATTATTTTTATTGCCTTGTTTAGGGGTGGTGTTCTTGTTGAGTATCCTTTTTCTACTCCACCCTGCACTCCTTCCCAGACTGAGCAATATCAAAATAAGTCAATTAGACATACCCACAAACTGGTGGACTTTGTATTATGTGCGGCCATCCGTAATGGTAGCATTATGGCAGGTAAAATTCAACTCAGAACAGATCCCAGAATGGAATAAAATGAGACGGTACTTATTTTCCATACCTCCCGGATGGATGCTTGCTAGGTTGTCCCATTCTTCACGGGCCCGTAGAACCTCCTCCGAAATATCTAGTAAGAGGAAAAACAAGATGACACACCAGAGTAGCTACATCCTCGAGAATCACTTACAAAGCAGTTCATTTAAGAGGCCTGGAAGATAATTCCATTTCTTTTAAAGCAAAAAAAAATCTAGGTGTAATTTTACAGAGGAATTACTGAGTCTGTTATGTGTACTTCTATAACTGTCTGGTTTGGTACAGTAACCAAACAGGACAAGGTATAAGCACCATCAGAGTTAAGCCTGGAGAAAGAACAACTGCAACCAGCTTACCTTTCATAGAAGACCTGTATACTGTGTGGGTCAGAAGGAGGGCTGAGAAAATATCCACAGACCCCTCAAATCCTGGAGGGAAGTGAGGGGGTCCATAGATAAACTATTTCAACTCCTCCCCTTAGGATGGCGATTTAGGGCATTGCATGCCAAAATAACTAGACAATCCCCCCCCCCCCGTGCCATCACCGTGCTGAACATTCAATTCTCTCAGTGCTGTTTAATGTCTCTTACCCTATGTAGCGTGGTTGTAGTATTATTTATCCTTATTTTCTTTTTTATTCCCCCTTTTATTGGTTTTATTGTTCTGTTGCTTTGCATGTCCACTGAGTGCTTTTGTACCAGAGATAAATTCTTTGTATGTCTAATCACAATTGGCCAAATAAAGTATTCATTTCAATTCAATTCATCTCCAGGCACTATACAGCAGCTCCATTTTATTCTTCTAAATGGGAAACTGTAGAGGTGGATTTTAAAACAGAAAGCATCTGAAATCGACAAGTGGAAATAATACTAACTGTGAAAACCCTAACCCAGGCATAGGCAACCTTGGCTCTTTTATGACTCGTGGACTTCAACTCCCAGAATTCCTGAGCCAGCCATGCTGAGGGGAAAGGGAGAGTTTTCAAGCTGAGCCATGCTGGCCCAGGAATTCTGGGAGTTGAAGTCCACGAGTCATAAAAGAGCCAAGGTTGCCTAGCCCTGCCCTAACCTTTCCAGGTAAATGGCTACTGCTGGGTAGGAGAGGGAATGAGGGATTGCAAGAGTGGCTTGGAAACTGCCACAGAATGTTGAAAATGAAGTTCTCATGACTGCAACAACAGCATAGCAGCAATGAAACAGCCACAACTTCCCCAAATTTCATTTCCTCCAAAGCCATGGGTCCCAGATTTGGGGCACATTCTGCAATTTAGCCCATTTGAGGTACTTTGGCTCAACAACTGTGGCTCTACGGTGTGCTGTTTTACCTAGCTAAAGGTTACGACAATGAAAGTTTTAGTAGTATACAGATTTTTATGTACCTAAAACAGTTAGAATCCACCTCTTTATAATTAATGTCATTTTTAAGAGCGCCATAAAAACCATAACTCTGCCTGTCAGCTAATCGCAATTCAACCTTTACTGACTTTCATGCAGAATTTCAAGGAGCGTCTGACTCTAGACCCCGTTATAAATGAGAAGCAGATGAAGCAACTTAAATTTCTGGGAGATCTAAAACCGTCTTCTCAGTGACATCAAAGGCGCTTGATCCTGCCACAGTTCCTTAGAAGTAGAGTACAAAACAGCTTCAAGCTTGAAAAGACGAGGCTTGAAGCACGATTTACATGCAGAGTCACACCATTTTTTTCCCAGTAAGGTTAGAACAAGTCCTTTTGAAAGTGAAATGTTTTGCAAGTCTCTGCTCTTCAGTGTTTCACATCATCCAAGATGCAACAGAATCCAAGGAGCCATAGCTACATTTCCTCCTGATATTCAGGGGGCTGAATGACAATAGTCTCCTAACAAGGCTCCAGCTCTTTAATCTGGGCCTTGTATTAGGGTGACTGGGGTTCTTGTCGGATATGTTTGATCATGGGGATGTTGTTAGCCCGACTCACCATCTGTTCTTCTTCTTTATTCCTTTTCTTTTTATACCCTCTGTTATATTAATTTTCAACTTCGTTTGCTTTTATTGTATACCATCCAGAGTCAGTCTGGTATTGGGCGGTGCCTAAACTGAATAAATTAAAAATTTTAATTGGATCTTTACCTGATTCCTTAAAATCATTGGGTGTTGCTGATAGAGACTGGAGCAGTCCATTCTGTTTCAATGCAGAAATCTGAAACAGACAGAGAGAGGTGGGGATTCTAAGGTTGCAAAGCAGGATGTTGTCAGGCATGAAGAATTAGATCTACATGTTAAATTCCAGTGAAGCTGATTTATTGCTCATGCCTATACACCAGAATCTAGTCAACTAACATTCAGCATGAAACTGGTGCTAGATAAGACTTAATGGAATTCAAGAGGGATTGGACTTAAACTGCTTGAAGGAATGTAAGGACCCCAGGCTGATTCCTCTCTTGATTCTATCCCCAGGCTCTGCCTCTCCTTCTCCTAGGGATGTGAAGAACCCATGGGCAACCTTTTCATAACTTCTCTGAGGCCAATATCTCATAAAGTGATTTTGTGTCACGGATTCAGAGCTCATAACATCCCAAACTTTTCTGTCAATGCACATTTTTAGTAAGAACTAAAAAGTCACAAAGCAACCCTGTTACTTAGATCAGTGTTTCTCAACCTTGGTCGTTTTAAGATGGGTGGACTTCAACTCCCAGAATTCCTCAGCCAGCATGGAGTCAAACATGGACCCTCAAAATATTCAACAAAGGATTTGCATACAGCATAGGAAAGCCTAAACTACATGTAAAGATAAGCACTATCATATTAAAAGGGTTTTTTTTTCACAATAAACAAAAATATAAACCTGGTGAAATTATGTTTCTGTCACAGAGAGGATTAAAAACTGGAGATATGGGTGAAGAAATAAGAGCTGTTTGGCTCAAGTCCCCAGCAGCTAATATCTGTACTCTGGAAAAAGGAAATGGAACAGTTTCCTCTTTTAAAGGAACAAGCAAACAAAAAAAAGCTGTTATTTCCTTTCTTTCCACAATGTTACATTGAACAAAAGAGGCAGTTTCAGATTTGATAACTTATTCCTGAGGGTTTTTTTTTTAGAGTTTTAGAGGTTGGCATGAGCGAAATAAGACTATGGAATACCCCTCAAACTCTATTTCTTGCTGTCATCTAAGCAAGAGAAACTGTTGTACATTTGCACAATATTTGGATTTAAGAAAAAGACTGCATACAGGTCTGCAAATTGTAGTTAAATCCTGAGAAACTTGAATGCAAGTTGGTTCTCGTAATGCAGTGTAAAGCCTGTTCAGACACTACTTGGGAACATTCCCCAATAATGTTGTTTCCTAAACTTACACCCGCAGTCTGCTATAACCCCCAATGATCCTAGCCAGCAGGACTACTGGAATGTGAGGAAAGACGGTTAGAACTTAGTGACCAGTATACTCACGTGCACAGCTTTGTAAACTGGATAGGTAATTGTTTGTGTTTCACGCTGGCAGTTGTTTATGCTGCACTGGTTCATCCCCTAATGGAAACAATGAAATCAGAGTCACCAGGGAGGGCGAGATCATTTCTCAAATCTCAAAGGCCCTTTTCCTTTTGCAAAGTAACAAGAAACTCAACTACACGGAGCACAGAACCACCTGCATTAATTGCAACTGAGCCTTATCCATTTCTTCCCCATAATCATGGAAGGTGTGATTCCGGAATTACTGCTACCGTAAAACTGCATATATGTTCCATACTCTCTTCCAATTATTATGGAATGTTCCATATTCCCTCCCACAAGAGGTTCACCAACTTGCATGCCCTTTTCACAATGGTATGGGGCAAAAAACAGCAGGACCCCCCAATTGCACCCTGATTCAGGTGACCCTGAGGTCCCAGATGAACCCAAGTGGCCTCAAACAGTTCTCAGGGAGAATGCTAACAATCAGAGGACTGCAAAGAAATTTAATCCTTCCGTCCATCCCTACCACCATCCTATCAGAACCTATCCTTCCATCTCCCAGACGTGATGAAACAAGCTTCTAGGATGTAATGTCTTCTTCTTTCTTTCTTTCTTTCTTTCTTTCTTTCTTTTTCTTTCTTTCTTTCTTTCTTTCTTTCTTTCTTTCTTCCTTCCTTTCCTTCTTCTTCTTCTTCTTCTTCTTCTTCTTCTTCTTCTTCTTCTTCTTCTTTCTTCTTCTTCTTCTTCTTCTTCTTCTTCTTCTTCTTCTTCTCCTCCTCCCTTCTTCCTTCCTTCTTCCTTCCTTCCTTCCTTCCTCCTTCCTCTTCTTCTTCTAAAAAACAGTCCAATTGTCTTTTGAAGAAAAAAGCACCTTTGAGACAACTACGACCTGGATGACTCAAAATCTCCACAGACAGCAGGACCCCAAGTTCTAATTTGGACATGCATTTGAATATTCTTTGGGTTTGGGGTTTTTTTTTTTTTTTTGCAAAAGTCGAGCAGCTGCAGCTTTCCACGCCCACCGACAGAACTTCCATTTGCTCTGGCTTGAAGCAGGAGGTCGCCAAGCGAGTCCTAAGCGGGAACTCCACCACTGGGGCTTGGAGAACCTGTCCAGGTTGCCAGAATGTCCGTTGAGTCGTGAGGCATCTAAATTACAGCCTGGAGGCAAATGGATGTTTACTGTTATGCTGCAGAAGGCCAGATGCGATTAAGAGGGGAAGAAAAGGTGCAAAGGATGAATGTATGCCGGTAACCCAGCTGGGTCTCTGGTGGAAGCACCTTTCCAGGTGGAGAAAAGATTTCAACCCTCCCTGAAACCCACTCCCACCTCCTTCTCTAGGTCCACAATTGGTGGGGTTTTTTTT